TCTCCCCTTTGGGTCTTTTGAGAAAGGCGGGCCCATGTCCTGTGATGCTGCGTTATTGCCAGCCGGCTCAACTTGGAGCAGAAGTGTGGTGTCTTTCTCTGCCAGTGTGTTCCTTGTGTGGGCTTTAATATTCATAAAAAGGATGTTAGCATTTGATTAAGATATGCTTGTCTTTAAAGATTATGGCTCTAAACTTGTGGCCACATAGAATAATTGCTCTCCAGATACTCATTGGTAAGTATAATTTTGAGCTATCTGTACCTGAATTCCTATTCAAAGACCCACTGAGAGAAATAATATTTGTGAAAGTTTGACTCAGGAAGGATAGGCTCTAAAATTTACTCATAGATTAAGGAATAATCAAAAAGCAATCTCACTGTTATTGAATTAGCATCTTGTTTAATTTATTTTTAGATTAAAAAAAATTTTTTATACTTCCCTGCACTTCGGGTTACGTTGAGGGGTGTTATAAAGAACAATCCTATGAATGAGTTCTGTGCATGCCATACAGTTACTGTTGAAATATTCCTTACAGTTCACAATGATATTCTGAGATGACTCATGGTCAAATTATTTCCCTGAGTAACAGGACCAGAGCACTAAGAAATAGAAGTTTTAACCTTCAGGGCCATGGAATGAATAACTGCTCTTGTTTCTCTTTCTGTGTTGGGTGCTAGAAATCTTAGAACTAAAATTTTTACCAAGCTCTAAAAATATATAGAAATCATGGCAAAAATTTTATACATTTAATGCATTATATATTACATTTAAAAATGTAATAATCTATTACATCTGACCACATCCTATTCTTCTTACCTTATCTTTTGCTTCTGATTTCTCCTAATTGCCTTGGTGTACTAAATACTTTGGTATAGCCACTTTAAATTCCCAACAAATGTAAAACAATGTTAATAATGAATGGTATTTGAATGTGTTGTCTTTCCACTTTACGAAGATTTTCTCTAAACGATGACTAAGCCAGAGGCAAGGATCTAACATGATCATAGTTAGGGATCTTTGAGTTGAAAGGAGATGGAATGTAAAATTAGGATATCTATTAGGGAATAGTCTTGTGATAAATAGCTGGAGAAGGAAAAAGAAGAAGGTAGGATTGAACAGAGCAAGAAGTTGAGCTGTAGTGGATGCTGTTCAATAGCTTCAGCTGCTCTCAAGCCAAAATAGCCCGTCAGAGTTATCCTCCTCAGGCTGGAAGGGAGAGGCTTTTATACTTCTAGTTTTAATCAGTCATCAGACGTTGTTGCTCTAGGCAGAACTAGGCTTTGCCTCTCTACAGCTGAGGCTAACTTTGAAAGGGCTGACCACTATATGCTGTCTGCTGATGGCACTCATAGCAGCTAGGAACACAAGCCCATCCTTGAAAAGGGAAGCATAGCACCCCGTCTATCACAAATATTTTAGGTAAGTAAAATAACCTGAGGAAATTAGGACACACTCAGCAAGTTAAACACCCTTGAGAAATTATTTTGCTCATAGGCTTATGTGCTAGTCATCCCTCCTTCTATCCTGCCTAGAGAAAACCTAGAGTATATCTCCCTGGAAGGGCACGAGTTGAATGATAAACGTTCCATATATTGTGTGTGTGTGAATGTGTTTGTGTATGTGTGTGTGTGTGTGCGTGTGTGTGTATCTTAAAACAATATACACTTATTATTTCAGTTTCTGTCCTGGCACATCTTAACTATTCAGTCTCACAAGGCTGCAGTTGAGGTGTTGGCTGAGGCTGTTGTATGTATATTCAGTTATTATACAATATTTTGGGGTGTCTATTTTGTGCTGTATACAACTTAGACTCTAGACATGGACTTAAAGTAGAAACCATTGTGTTATATTTTTGAATAGAAAACATTTACATTTTATGTTTCATTTCAAAACAGTATTGTAATAGGGATCTCCCTTCATAACAAGTATTCAAGCTGCATACATTTTTATACTCATGAACAAGAAAGATACTCTTAGTAAATGCTACACCACATGATTTGAAACACCGGACAATTAGGTAACATGATTTAACAGCGCTATATACAGTGATGAAAAATTTATTTTCTTACTAAATCTATCAGCCAGTTTCCACCCCCTTGAAGCAAAACTCCAATTCACCACATTCTTCAAATTTGTGAGTACATACATTGCTCAGCTCAGTTGGTGAAAGAAAAATATGGAGATAAAGAAAGCGCACTTGCAGAATAAATACTAGAAGGCGCTACTGTGTAAAAATTAGTTTGCATGGTTCTCAGTACAAGCGTTATGAAATTTTTTTTTCATTTTTTAACTTAAAAATCTTTTTCCCTTTCAAATCAAAAGCAAACAGTCACAGTGGATTTTTTTTCCCCCTGTCATTTATCTTTTTGCTTTTGACTAGAACAGACCTTAAGATTTTCTGATCTGAATCCTCTTCCTTCAAATGAGAAAACTAAAGTTTAGAGAGGTTGAGAATTACCAATTTCGTGAGGGAAAATTCAGGATTGGAATCCAGGTTTTCCAACTCCTACTCCAGTGTCTTTTCTCCCCCATTATTCCATTTATTGATATTAATAGCTCTGAGAAATCAATAACATAAACAAATTTCCCATGCACAAAGTCTGTGTGGGCAAGATATCCTTTTGATTATCCCCTTTCTAAAATGACTTTTTAAAAATAGCTCCCTTGAGTACATAGTTTCAACAACTAAAGATGAGCTTTGTTTTTACCAGCCAATGTGTGTTTGACATTATTGATTGATAATGTCATTGATTAATAAATAGCTTTCTCTCACTTGCTAAATTTCTTTATCTTGTTGAATCAAGGGTTGACAAATTATTAGGCAACGAACATATATTTCAAAATTATCCAAATACTCCTGAGTATCAGACAACCTAACAAATTTAGAGACTGAAGAAATGTGCACATCAGTTTATTTTTGTTCATTGAGAGGAAATGTAGCTTAAGTAGGGTTTGACTTTTTAAGATATTTATTTAGTTCTTGAATTGACTGACAAGCCTATTAATTTGTTCCCTGAACTTTATTAATGTAAATGGAAAAATGCCCACATGTCAATCAACTTCTAATAAGTAATTATGTTCATAAGTACTGTAAAATTATTAGCTTTTAATTTGACCCAAACACACACATCAAAACAGTAACACAAATTATATTTTTCTAGAGGAACAAAATATTATACTGATAAAAAATTCAATAAGTGCATTTGTAAAATGTTCTTCCTAAAATGGTGCCCAAAAGTTTATACTGGCCAGCAAAAATGAGTGCCAAAGTAAGGCATGTAACAGTTTTAAAACTGTGTACAGTATTAAACAACCTATGTAATATAAAGTTATGAAGAAATTCTATGGAAATTAACATTTTAATTAACAGGGCATATATATATATATGTATATATATATATATATGTGTGTGTGTGTATTTGGGGTCTGGTTAAAAAATATGGGCCTAACGGAATAAAAGAGAATAGAAAAAAGGAAAGAGGGATATTTTTAGTGTTCAGAAGTATATTGTTTAAACATATAAGAAGCAAAATGTCTTTATCTCAAGTGACTCAAATATATTACCATCAAAGTGTACTTTTCCTCATGTAATAAAATTTTTTTGTAGTGTTTGAACTAGAAACTCAAGTCAAAAGGCACTGAACTAAACAAGAGAACAGAATTAGGCTTGGATAACTGAAGAAATGTGTTTGTGTCTTGTAATCTCATGTCATTTTTTGAAGCTGGATAAACTGCCCTCTGGAATCTCTGGATAATCTTTGAATGAAGATGGACTTTTATGAAAACATTATTATTTTCTTATATGCTTTTAAATAAGGAAAATCACCAAAGTCTTAATGATTTGTAATAAGGAAAACCACTGAGGAAATTCACTGCCTTACTCTTCAATTTATACTTTCCTTCTTAAAGTTAATTGTTTAATAAGTTTAATCATTATCACAAAGTTAAAATATTTACTAATAATTGAAGCTTTGTTTGAATTCAGTTTTACCTTTATGTGAGGAAATAAAGCTCAATTAATAAAGTTGTAGAATAACAATCTTTTCTGAATGTAAACCATGTACCTAAATTAATATTTACTGTTGATTTCTGAAGAGTAAACTCAGAAATAATACAACTAACTTGCAAATTCAGCTTTCCTGATAGAAATAAAACATGCATTCGCTGGCACTACATTATCATATAATTTGTTATTAATTTTACTTAGAAATGCTGCAATGTCATTTTGAGTTCCACAATATACTATTTCTATGCAACCAACACATGGTTTATCTATAAAGCATGAGGATATAATGCAAAAGGGCAAAAATACACATTTTCTATTCTACTAGCATTATAATTATATTTTCCTTGAAACGTATTTGTGTTGAGGATAAATATGCTCTTATATTTTAGTATGCAAGAAAAGTAAAATAATTGGATGATTCTGTTTATATTTGGAGATTGTAAGTTAGCTAGCATGATTTATGATCTACTGAAAGTAAATCAAAGTATAAAGCATTGTGAACCATATTTTTTCAATTATTCTATATTTAGATAAAGTAATTCTAGAAGGCTGCTTCTTTTCATTGTGACTTGAATCAAAGTAAATAGAAGCTGAATTGAGACAGAGTGTTGGAAAGCTTGAGGATTACTTTTAAAGAGTTATTATTCATATTTCAAGAAGTTCTAATATTTTAATGTAGCCATCATAGGCTATCAAAAATTTATTTTAATGTACCAACCATGGGTTCTCAAAGATTTATTGAAGGGGTGACTCATAGGAAGATACAAAATGAATCATATACAAAATAATCATAATGTGATGTTAATGGATAATTTTTGATCTCAGTAAGTGGGGATTTGTATGCCTATAAAAGCCATTATACTTAATGGAATCTAGGAACATAAATCCCTGAAGACAATGACAACATATCTTTCAACATTGTCAGCTACCTCTCAGTCATTTTGATATCTAAATATTGAACATTTCTAAGCGTAGCAGACATGGAAATGCATACCTTGCACAGTTAGATGCACCTGCATTGTTCTCGGTGTATGTTGAGTCTGAACAGAACATGTGTATGGGCCATCGTCTGTCACATCTACATTCTGTATCTGGAGGCTGTAGTCCCTTTTATTCAATGTTGAAATTGAAACTCGAGGATCCACTGACCACTTATCACCTCCCGCAAAAATAATACTTGACCGGTTCAGCCAGGCACCTTTTGAAGCTCCATCTTCCAAATAACACCTACAAATTACCAGAGACAGAACATTATTAATCAAAATGAAAATGAGAGACAATATTATCTTTGTTCTGAGTGTATTTCCATATGCTGAATTATGGCACTGCATCAAATGCAAACATCAGTTATAAACACAGGAGACATGAACACACTGATACATTTTTCATTCCCAAAGCAAATATGAAACAATACCTTCCTACAGTTTGGTTTAGTTTTGTTTTTTAAGTGTGTGTGTGTGTGTGTGTGTGTGTGTGTGTGTGTGTATTTTAATTCAAAGCCAGTCAAAATCCTTTTTTATTCTGTCTGGATGACAAGTAAATTTAAATAAGGTTAAATTAGTTCAAATAACAATTTCAACATTAAAACACACTTCTTTCTTTGAAATTATAAGAAGTAGAATAGGTTCATGAGCTAGCCTGGTTTAACACAATCCAATTCTGAATATAATGTGCCAGATACATAAAGCACAGAATGGCACCATATACATGTTTATTCTTAAAATTACCTGCATTTGCAGAGCAGTAGACCTGTACACTGAAACTATGAACTGCATTTCACTGATAATATTGCTGTTGTAATTAAATGTAGTGAGGCTAATATAATACTTTTAGTAGCAAATTCTTGCTGTCTTTTCAATAAACTGACCAATAGTTTTTCCAGAAAGCATTCATTTATCCAACAAAAACACGTATGGAGCATCTACTATTCATGGATTCAAAGGGTATTGCCTTTGCTCTCCAAAACTTTTAGTCTACTAAGGAGGACAATCTAATTAAGCCAACCAATTAATACTATACAGAAAGAAGAATATTTTTATGAAATCAGGCACAAGGTACATGAGAGACAAACGAGGGTTACTTGACTTAGAAAGGTTGTTGTGAGTACAGAAAAAGGCTTTCTAGAATAGAAAAATGCCTGAGATAAAGAGATGAAGAGTGGAAGATGTGGTGTTCTAGACAGAGGTGCTATATGCAGATAACTCCCAGGAAAGGTGAGAGAGATAGCCAGGCATTTTAAGGAAGTACAGAGAAGCATGGGATATAAGGTAGGAGGGATGAGAGACAAAATTGGAAAGGTAAACTAGAGCTAGATGATAATAGCAAGGATGATGACTACTATTAGATTTTAAGGCCAAATTGAAGCCATTTATTCAGAGTTGTATTCTATAACAAAATTTAAAAATATAGCTTTGTGTCTAATAGGAGTCAGTCATATCAAGATTTAGAACAGAAGGCTGTGGTCATATATCAGTGATTTTGCTGAGGACTGGCATTCTAAGTTTCAACCTGAAAACGTTCTGATACAAATTAAAGACTGGTTCTCTTAAATGAGTACAAAGCACAGCTACAGAATGAAAATACACATACATCGAAATAGTTTGACAGCATTTCTACAGAACACCTTGGGGAATTGAGCACAGTGTTTTGAGATTGCTACAAAATTGTAAGCTGAAAGCAACAGGGTAGGCTGCTGCCAACTGTATCAAACTAATCAGTGGGTGAAAAAATAAGGAACAAGGTACATTGCAGAATCTAATTTGCAGTCAGCTTCAGCATCTACAGAATACAAACTAGTAGAAGTCATAAAGGTCATTGTTAATTGAAAAGCTTTTCCTGATGTATTTAATGAAGAAAATAAAACCCACTTTAATGACATAATTAAACAATTATAGTATATTGTCATTCTTAATAACATGCAGAAAGAAGACACAGGGGACATAGTTCCCATTTCACAAGATCACATGTGTACTGGTACAGCATAGAACACTGAAATACCACTACTAGGATTATGATAATTCCGCTGTCTGTATTTAGTATCTGGGTTCATCAAATGTTTATTGTGTGACCTCTGCATTTGTGGCCTTCACACTTTTTCCTATCTGGTGCTCATAACAACCCTGTGAGGTATAGATTGCTATGCTCAATTCATCCTTAGAATATAAATGGAATTTTGTGGTTAAAAGACTTGCCCAAGCCACACTGTTAGTGGCTGGCAAAGTTAAATTCATAATCAAGCCTTCTATTTCCACATTCAATGTCATTTTCACCGTAATGCAGATCAAAGACTTTTAAAATAGTTTTCAGAAATGGGAAGATGATTAGAATGTTGCAGACATTACTGCAAGTAATTTCTTATTTACTGAATGTGACCAACTGCTTAACCTGTCCTATTCTAAAGGAAGCAGAAAATTAATCATTAATGGATAGTTTACCATGAAAGTCTGATTTAGAACACTCTGCCTGGCATTTCCCTTTCCCTAGAGACAGCAGAAGCTTTACCTTTATTTGGTGGGGGGGGTATCAGGAAGACCACAGCGAGTAACTAGTATTTAGATACTAGAGCTTTCATAGACCTGATCTGGGTTCTAACTCGTAATCTTAGCATAAGCACTATTCCTCTGTTCTGGCATGCCAGGGACCTTCACAGAAGAAGAGATTCTAACTTCTTCACTAAGAAAAATGAAAAAAAAAAAAAGGGGGGGCTCTTTGTGTCTCCTCGGCTTGGATAACTATCTTCCATAATTATTATTGGTCCCAACCCAAAGCTTTTCAAGACATACATTAGGAAGACCCTTGAAAGAGACTCAGGGAAAAAAAGAAAATTGGGGTATTATTTCCTTGGACTTCTGTAGAGCAATTCTCAGATTACACTACTGAAGTAGAACCTAAATAACTCAAATTACCATATATGGAATTTTACAAATTGTGAATAGCAAGGCCTAGGAATGAATTTCTATTTTTATAAAAACATAAGATACTTATACATACTATATGTAGTTTTAAGCTCAACTATAAGATGATTATGTAAAATATATGAAATAGGCATATACACATACGATTCCTTGAGAAAAAGGACTTTGTCTCCTATCTATCTATCTCCTCTTTGTTCTCCACTTCCCCCCAGTTTGTTTTTGGTTTTGTTTTTTTCATGTACACAAAGAGGTACTGCTAGATATGTGTATGCTGTATTAAGAAGAAATTCTGGAAAGAAGGAAAGTATTTAGGGTATGATAGAGGGGAGCGGGAGGGTGGGAAAAGGACAGAAGTGGTGAGGATTTCATCTTGTACTCTTTGGGTATCAAACTTTTTCTTTTAGTTGAAGAACACTAATGTGTAAAGATATAATCTGTTGGAATCCTTGCCCACACAGAATTTATAATTTAGCAAGGATGATAAATTATATTCATGACTAACCATCATAAAGAACAGGAAGTAAAAATACAGTAATTAAATTGTTGTTATAATGGATTATTATAATTGTCTGAGGGTCTCTGGCTTCTGCCCTTGACCTTGTTCTCCCCACAATAAACAGAATGAACTTTAGAGTTTAAATCAGATCATCGACAACTCTAAGCCTTCCTATTTCACTCATAAGAAAAATTCTTAATCCCTATAGTGACCAATCGTCCTATGTAATCTGGCCCCTTGATGCTTCTCTGACCTTGTCAGTTCCCACTCTTTCCCATTTACTCTGCTCTAGACTCTGGGCCTCCAGCTGTGCTTCCAACAAATCACACTTGCTCTTGCCCCAGGAAGTTGGCATTTCTTACTGCTTCTTCTGCCTGGAACTCTTCTCCCCAAGAGGTCTGCATAATATATTACACAGTAGCAAAGTTACACAGTAGCAAAGGTGAGGGGTTCTCCTGTTTAGGATGGAGAAATTAATGTGTGAGAGAGAGGCTGGTAAACCAAAGATGATCAGATCACTGATGAGAGTAGGATGAAGCAATAGTTCTCGGGTCAAAAACGTGGATCATTTTTCATCTCTGGACTTCCAAATAGAACGTTTTAACAGCTAGCGATGTTAGGATCCCTTTGAAGTCTAGATAATGAAATAATCTGAATAAAATGTTTAATAATGAATATATCCTTTAATTGAGTATGGCACAGCTCTTTTTGAAAGTTTTTCCCCCCCACTTAAAAAAATCTTCTAGACAACCTACTTTATAGGGAGATGACTGAAGCAGTTCCAAAAATACACTCCTCAGCATAAGCTGTGCTAACACCAAGACGAATATCATGACAAACACTTAAATTTTCAATCATCTGGATGTTGTGTAACATAGTTCCAAACATCTGGTTGTTGGAAAATGTATAGAAAATAGCTTTAATACTTCATTTTGTTCAAGATTGTTATTTATTTAAACCCAGGCTTAAGATAGTTAATGCTTTTCTAATAAGACTGGCACTGCTGCTTCTGAAATCTTTTAAGGAGCTCCTTTATAAATGGCATTTGTACGTATCAGGCAGGTCCTTATTTTGAGGGTATAAAGTCCCGCTTGGTGAGGTGCTAGTTGAACAAAATGATGTTGGAGTAATTCTAACAGACTCTCTGTGACACTATCTCCTGTGGTGATTAAATCTGAAAGGTGGACATCAGAGAGCTTAGTGGAAATTAGCATATTTGGTTATTTATTATTTTTTAAACTCGATTAAGAAATTAAGTCTGTGGCTGCTGAAGAATGATTTTTTCCTTTCATATCTCTAAATTCCCTGTAACACATTCCAAAAACATAAGCCTTAGCGCCATTACCATTACCCCACACAGCAAGATTTATTCCACTCGATGGAGAAAGACCAGCTTTTCTCAAGACGTGTTGATTAATGAAAGCCCCTATTAAAGGTACTAACTAATAAGAGAAGAAAAGTACAATTTCCCTTGGAATCAAAGCTAAACCATGTGAAAATGATCTACCTATGAAGGGATTGGCGAGCTACCTTCACAGCTGTCTTTTCATCATATCACAAAGTTCTAAATTTGACAGAAGAACTTTCAAAAGCACACAGAAAAAATTAAAAAATTCAGAACATCATACAACCTCCATGCTAATTCTGCATACAAAGAGAGCTTTGATATCCTGGTTTCAAGGCCAATATGAGGTAAGAAAAGTAAAGTAGAGATTAAATAGAACAGAACAAATTCTATCTCCTCACCCACTTGCCTTTGTTTTTAAGGTTGTTCTCTTCTTAATGTCTTTCATGCCAGTTATTCCTTGGATAATATA